TCCAGCCATTTTAAGATATTAATAATTGAAGAAGGAACATAGAGTAGAAACATGGAGAAAGTAATGATAAAGAAGAGAGCTTGATTTTAGAATTTCAACACATCTCACTAAAGTAAAAACAAAAGCTTCTTATTAGAACACAAAATAAAATATTAATAGTGCTTTGTTTGTGAATGCTTATAGACTCGTTTTGTGTTTCTCTTTTATATCTCTCTCTTAAACCCCTGCCACCAATTACTCTCCATATGCTTTTAAAACCAGAGCAGTTGACCATGAGCATCCTGAAACTTTGGTTGTTTTGTTCATTATTCCCCTGTTTGACCTGTTACATTGTTTGTAGCAAATCAAACAAATAGAACAACATTGACTTAATTTTAGTTCCACTTGCCAAAGGAAGTAGTTTTACACTCAAAGCATGTCCAGTACCATTTTATATATCAAGGAAACTTAAGGAGACCTGGTCTTACCTTACTTTAATTGTTATGATATGACATGTTTTTGTTTCTACTTAACTATTTTTAATAAACAGAACTAATCTGCATCACAGAGTATCCATACTTTAAAATTCACAAATAAAGAATAGTAGTCTAAGCTTTTTAGACCGATTATTTATGCAATTGCAGCCTCTTTGCATTATGATTTTTAGACACTTTAATGCTCGGTTTTGTAATAATACCATGTTGTTTATTTTTTAAACAATATTGGTAGTGTCACTTAAAGCTACAGTGTGTAACTTTTAGCGACATCTAGCGGTCAGACTGCAGACTCAAGCAACATGAACATCTCTCCCCCACTGCTTCTCCCCCCCAACAGTACAGCGAGCGTTACGGGACAAAATGTCTTCCACGACGTCCGCATCACCTACCTTCTCAAGTGATGAGGTTTGTTTACATAGATAATTTTACAGATAGTATTTCATTAGTCTGTGTAGGGTATAGATTTAATGTAGACTTAAGATAATAAATATACCCGTTATTTTTTCTACATCGTTGTGACGTTTTGGCGATCTCGCAATCACTAGTTTGTTGGCTTTGCGCTGCCGTAGCGCAAAGATGTCTGCCTCCATGGCTGCGAGACCCGCTCCTATGTAATTATAAATAACGAATTCTAAGGCAACACAAATATTAAGGTTAAGAGGCTGAGCTCGTAGATGATGATAAATAACATAGTTATGTATAATATATTACATTTCTGACTGTATATCCCTGTAATTATTACACACTGTAGCTTTAAGCAAAGAAATGAAAAATAACAAAAAATTGTAAAATTAACTTGAAAATCAATTTCTTCTGCTTGTAGTTTGTTTATTAAAAGAAAAAAGTAACTTCAACTTAGTTAAACGGGTTCTTATAAGAAGAAAGAAAATCCTAACAGCAGCTTAAATGGGATTTGCAGTCCAGATGGTCGCTTTCTACATAACAAGAAAGCTGTGCATTTTAAGTAGTAGTCACTCAGTTGTGTTTCCCGCATCATCCACTGCACCTAATAACACTTTAATGACATACATTTGATTTGTTTCATGAGCTTGTGCCTGTTTCTTTTTACAGTACCTGATGCAAAAATTACGAATAAAAAAAATGCACAATCCGTGCTGGAAAGAATGTTTGAAGTATTCAACTTTAAATTATGTTAAATAGCAATGATATAGAATTGCTAAATTTATAGCCTGAATATATATGCTTTTTATTTAATCATGAATAAAGTGCTTGTGTGTAACTTGTTGATAAGCTTAGATTATCTTTTCAAAGGTGTGTATGAGGCTCCCCAGAACACTGGTTATCTTTATCTTGCAGGCTTAAAGCTATGTGTTGCTTGGGGATGTTGTTTCAGACCAATGAAGGTCAACAATAGAGACTGCTAACAACATTAGCATAGATGATCCCATGGCACATGGTATTAAGCTCACAAAATAGTAATATCTCTTAAGGAAGGGACAACACAACAACATCACAAAGGTCTCATTTTCTTTTTGTTCACAGCTGGTTTAGAGACACATTTAATGTGACTTGGTTTAGGTAGTTTATTTTAATTGTTCACTGACAGATGGGTTATCAGTCATTTATATATCAGCACTCAAAGTAGTTATGTAGTTCTTTTTCCTGGCAAGACTGTGTTGTTTTGGTGTTAAATGTCAATCAGCCGAAAATGCACTTTTTTCTGTCATTATCAGTCGATAGGTTTCAGTGACTGATTTTTTGGTGCATCCCTACTTATGATGTCCCTTTGGCTAACTAAGTCATTGGTAATTTTGAAGTGGTCAGGCAGAGTGACACCAGTTACAGATGTTTTAGAAATATGTAGACCCTTAATGATGATTAAGTCCAAAATAGGACCCTGCTTGAGCTTTTACCATTATGTTGGGTCAAACAAGTATCACATAGAGCTATTGTGTCTCTATCTTCAAGATTGTCAGTGTAAATGTGTGAATGCTTGTCAAGGTTGCTAGGAATAAGGTTAAATGATGAGCAATAGAATACCCTCTAGAGCTGTAGCGTGAAGTGAAGAAAATAGGGGCTGACCTTGTCCATCAGGTTCTTATTGAAGAGGTTTTGAGCTTGGTTTGAACCTACTAATTGGGACTTTAATGAAACTTAATTAAGAGAACAGTGCTGGGCAGAGCTGAACAAGAGAAATTGCTATTCTTGATTTGGCCAGTATTCCAATTACTAATTACTGCTACTGGTGGGTTCCCTCTTCCCTCCTATTTGGGCAAGGGCAATGTAAAGGCCTATTTTCTTCATTTAACTCATGGGACTCAAACTAATGCTGCTTTTCTTCAGTGGTTAATCTCGCTCATTCAGTCTCCATAGGTAGCTCAAAGAACTATAATGGTTTAGTTAGTAAATTTATTAGTTTTTTCTCTGTATTTTTCTTGCACATTCTACTATGTTTTCTGATTGCCAGGTTAATCTTTACAAGGTGGTTTATCTTTCAGTCGGTTATATGTTTCAGCTATAGTGATCTCTGGACAAGCAAAGGTGCAGTGTGACGATGCAGACTAGGAGGCATTTTTGTATTTCAAACATAAATAACTTAATGTTTTTTCAATGAATGGTTTTAGAGAAATGGATCTTGACGGAAGCCTGGTAGCAAGATTCCATTTTTTTTTTAACCTGGGATTAAATTCCGAAGTTAGATCCAGCATGAGGGGAGCAGACTGAGATTCGAGAGCCAAAGAGATATTCTGTAAGGAGGCTCGGAGAGCATTGGTCAGAGAAAGGACTTTCCTGAGAGATCTATCTTGTACAGGCTTTTGAAAGTGTCTTGGAGTAGAAATGGAGCCCAGTGGTACAGGTACAACCTGGTTGAGTCAGAGGACATGAGTTATGACCTGAGGAAAGCTCCAAATATTATTCTATCTTAAGCAAGGATTCTTTGGAAGTTACTATTTATCTTGACGCTACCAAGAAGGCTACGCATTGGACAAAGGCTGGTTGTCCAGATGCAAATTCAAGTCCACACAGCACAATGAGGAAATAGCACTCAAGTGTTGGAGTTGGGAGATCCTACCCAACAGCAGAGACACTTTGTGGGGAAGTTCTCACACACACACACACACCCACGCACACACACACACAGACACACACATCTGGGTCAGTAGCTGGAGTATACTCTATGGGCCTTTGTGCAAAGCACAGTTTGGCATACTGAAGGTTTTTTTTTACTTTGGCTTACTTTGTCACACTCATTTACTATTTGTATGCTGATTTATATCTGATGTACTTAAAGGTGAGATTTTATCACTCGTTAGTTTTGTTTGTATCCTCAAAAGCATTTGCATGCATTGCCCTTGAATTATAGACAATGTGTTTGCTAAGTTTCAAAGTAGAAACAACACAACACTGTGTCTACAGAATAGTAAATGGCAAAACAGGCAGGCTTAAAAAAACTGTGACTATACAAATAGATAAAATATAAAATCACCTATATTGATTTACTATTTATATTTTTAATAACCTAATTTCATTTTAGTAGACTTAAAAGTTAAAGGAAAAAATAATATCAAACCACAAATAAAATAAGTCTCAAAGGATTTTTTTTCTTTTCATTACACTTAAACTTATTTCAATTAACTTCTGAATTTAAACAACGCCACTACTGTAGATGAACCTTTGTGCAATTATATTTATGAGACCATTGTTTTTATTCTTATTTAACAAAAAGGAAACACATTTGCATTTTTTAAGTGAAACATTTTAAAGTTGTTTTACACATTAATAGAATCTAGTGCAAAGTCATGGCAAAGTATAGAATGGAAACAGAAACATGGGGATGGCCCAGGGCATAATGAATAACAGACCTTTCACCGCTTGGAGCAAAACTATCCACTTTTCATGCCTATTTTAAAAAATGGCGCTGGGAGGTTGATACACACTTTGATGTTGGATCCAGACGTCTATGTCTACATAAGGAGTCTAGTATTCTATGCATGTTATATGCAGGCCTACTAAAGCTGACATATTCACAGGTCATATGATGATGAATTAGAAATGCATTATAGACTACCACTGCCACAAATGCCTAATGTAAATGGAAGTTTTCAAAGTGTTGATCCCTTCCAGAACGCATCAGAAGATTACAATATTTTGCTTCTGTTGCAAAATATAAAATTTACCCTCATATAAAATCATATTGGTGTCGCATATTACTTTTATCTAAGACCATTCCCCTATTATAGTGCACATTCAGGTTCAATTTCTGATTGGTTGTAATATTCATTTCCCTCCATGAATGCAACTGCAATCAACCCATAGCTCTTAGATTATGTCTTCCTCTGTTGCTCTCTTTCTCTCTGCATCTGCTCAACCAGAAGCAACCATGTGTCAGTATTTGTGTGTAGGCCTCATAGAGGTGGTATTAAAGGTCCACAGGGAAACATTATCTGTTTTAGCAATCAACAATCTGATGCTAACCTTCTCTCTGCCTCCCCTCCCCTGTCTCTGCTCATCTCTCTCCGCCTCTTCCCCTCTCTCCCACACTGTCTCCCTCAATCTATCTAGCTCTGTGCGGTGGGGATGTCAGAGGTCCCTGGGGAACCATCCTCAGTCCCGGCTTTCCAGACAGCTACCCTTCATCTCTCAACTGTACCTGGACTGTTGAAGTCAGCCATGGGAAAGGCAAGCAAGCTGCAAAGATCCTCACTCGCTAATAGAAAGAGACAAACTGAGAGACAGGGCAGTGTGACATGGAAAGCTCAGGGATCCAGTTAGTTTCCTTGCCTTAGCAAATAACTTGCACTGAAAGCTTTTTGTTTCTGCAAACTCGGGGAGGGACTCCAAAGTAACTTGTATGGCTTAAATAGAATTTAGTTGCCAATTCTAATGTATTATGCAAAAGTTTTTCATGACTCTTTTTTTTTTTTTGTAGAAATATGTCCTTTGATGAATATTGGATGTGCAAGAACCATGCTTTAAATTAATATTGATCTTGTTATGTGTTTCAAACAGGAGTCCAGTTTCAGTTCAACTCCTTTCAACTGGAGGACCAACACGACTACCTCTTGGTAACTGAGAATGGGAGCTTCCTACAACCTCTGGCTCGGTTGACCGGCAATGAGTTGCCTAGCAACATCAATGCTGGTCTCTATGGCAACTTCAAAGCACAGCTACGATTCATCTCTGACTTTTCTATTTCATACGAGGGCTTCAACATAACTTTTTCAGGTACTGCTCTTTACCATATCCTGGTCTTAATATTTTAGATATCAAGTTGAAGGATATATCTACATTTACTTACTAAAAGAGTTTAATAAAATGTATTCAGATTAAATCTAAAACTCAATTAAATAAAACATTATAAAAAAAAATACTGTATCAAAAGAAATATCTATATGTTTGGGAACTGTATAGATTATGTTACTCAGATCAAACTTATGCAGAACATAGAAAACAAATAAATGTTAACTTTGATAAAATTACTACCGTAATAGACCTATACAGTATACAGTGCTATAACTACTTGTTACAATGCCAAAAATAAAAGATAAAAGTAATAAATATCATAACACATGACCTGACAAAAGATAAATAAAATAATAAATAGACAAAAAAATAAAATAAAATATGTCCTGGTGAAATGAGACAATTACTAAATAGCTATGTGAAAAGAATACATTGAATTATTTGGAGTAAAAAAAAAAAAAAAATAGAACAAATTAGCAAATTCAGTCAAAAAACAAAAATTTATTCCGAGCTTTATTTTTTCTTTAGTTTTATTGATACAGTACATGTATACATTTCTTTTTCAAAGCCAACTCTTGCAAACAGGTTCCTAAAATCAGGTCAACCGGTGATGGGGATGGAGTTTAGACAGGAATGTTTATGGCTACACTCCCTTAAAAAAAAAAAATTGTCCCTAAATTACACTTCTTCTACCTTCTAAGAAAGAGGTGACATGCTATAGGATGTTTTATAGCCTTCCACACAGCCTAAGCTGATAGAATCTAACACATGAGAGGTGTTGTAAGGGATGTTATTCAAACCTACTAAAACAATTACATTTTGAGATGTATGCTGCTAAACACAAACTCAAAAAGCCCAACTGGGAATACAAACAATATATAAATTGTTTGCTGATTGTTTAGATGCTTTTACAAAAAAAGGAAAATGTATTGTTAGATTTTTTTTCCTTATCTATGACTAAAATAACTATGCATAAATACTGAGCGAGAAGTGCTAAATGGTCAAAGAGGGTGCCTAGTAAAAGCCTTTTAAATAATAAAGGTATTAGAGCAAAACCACTGAATTTAATAAATTTCCTTCATCTTTATTAGACTTTCATGTGTTTTCCTATATATGATTTTTCAACAGAATATACTTTGGAGCCATGTGAGGACCCTGGGATGCCCAGATTTGGCCAGAGAAATGGCTACAGTTTTGGGGTTGGAGATACTTTGTCCTTTTCCTGTAACTTAGGATACCGCCTGGAGGGGGCGCCAGAGTTAATCTGTCTAGGTGGAGGGCGTAGAATGTGGAGCGCTCCTCTACCAAGATGTGTTGGTAGGCGATCATATTACTGCTGATCTTATGGTGTATTGCTGATACAGTATGTTTTTTTGTGTTTTTGGGTTTAGAGCTGCAGATAGCATAAATGCATGCAATACTTGGAAAGATAAATTGCTAACTGCCTGATCTTCAGAAGATTTGGTCATTTTAAAATTGATGCAAACTTGTTTGTACGAACTGAGCAGATATTTCAAGGAGGTCGAAAAAAGTTTAATTTGCAATTCAGCAGACAGTGTGTCCAAACCAATTTTTGTGTATTTACATTGATAGATATGCATAGAATTTTCTAATGACTGAACTGAAAATTCATGGGTCGAGGATATGCAAATGAATCGATTTACCACATGCAGAGCGATGCTTTTTCAAAACGGCAATGTTTTTCTGTGTTTTTTTCACTTTTAAAAGTCAGGTTCAAATTGACATGCAAACATTTCTGCAGTAATTGTTGCCACAGAGGAGGCATTGGTACAATTACGACCATCAAAAATAACTCGTAAAATAATTTCCAGAAAAAACATACATGATGCCTGCACATATGAATGCAGCAAGATGGTATACAATCTTTATACAGCTAAACCACAATATTTAATATCCACTTATTTCATGTACAAAAACAAGTTGGACATGCAATTTAATGCCTCCGATTTGCAATATTTGAAGATCATACACCGAGAGTGTAATTTTAGATCAAAATGCAAAAAAACATTTAAATTCCCAACTGTTGTCTGTACATTTAGCTTCAGCAAAACAAAATGTTTTGAGTGACATTCATATATTTGTCACTGATTTAATTACAGTATCACTGACATTGTTCATTTTTGAAAACTTGTACATTATTTCGAGGTTCACTCAGAATATGATCAATAAAGTCAAAAATGTTCCTAAAGTCAAAAATTTGACAATATAATCCGGTATTTTAGGATTCTTAAATTTTAAGGACTAAGCATCATAATTCATCAAATTTGAATAGACCCAAAGGCGTGTTGTTAAGAAAATCACGAGCAAATGTAATATTGGGATTCCCCATTTAGTCAAACTAGCTAGTCTGTTGTAATGGCCTAAACCTAGTATCCAAAGCCCACAGTTATAAGACTGTAAAACATGTTAACTTTAATGTAAACTTTTCTAGTTGTAGAACTGGCCAAAAAAATACTACAGGAATACAAAGTATTTTTTTTATTGATAAGGAGGTGGTGGAGAGCAAAATGCTTTATATTACTTGGAAGATGTACTTATGATACAAATATAACAGGGGAGATCCAAAAACAGGATGGCATAATTTCTGATTTTCCTTCTTAATAAAGACCATTCAAACCGTGATTAGCAGCACAACTGTTCATGGACACGCTGCAAGAAAAAAAGTTCTGCCCACTTGTATCCAGAACAAGCAGAGAGAACACCAAAATTGATCTGTAAGAAAAAAATGTGTTACCCTAAACAAGGATGGTGAAGCAAAATGGTGTCTTTCATTGGGTCAACTTTCATCTCTGTATTTATTAACTAATTCAGAGCTATGGGATCACTTTACTTTTTTATGCTATGGTTAGGATATGTATTTGGCTTTGCTAAAACAAAGCCATATTGGTTACACTCTGTCCCTTTAGGAAGGATTTTCATGTTAAATATCACATTAGCTAAAATAAAACAATTAACCAAAGAAACGTTTCAATTCAATTCAATTTATGTATATATCGCCAATTCACAGCACGTCATCTCAAGGCACTTTACAATTCAACTATATCATGCAGTCAGATTGGTTCAGAGTTTTCTAAGAAAACCCAGCTGATTGCATCGACTCAATAACTCAAAATCAATCCCTCACACCTACTGTAACATGTGTGGAGAGATATTTGAGAGGAAAACTCCCTTTTAAGCAGAAGAAACCTCCAGGCTTAGCTTGAGCAACCTGCTGCTGAGGCCAACTGGGGTTCAAGGAGACAGAAGCAGACATACAGAAAGATGCAGAGATACAAAAGGTAACTGTCAACCAGCTCCACAGGTTTCCCCATCCAGGAAACACACAGCCAGGCAGACAAGCTCTGCACCAGCTCCCTTGTCAGACGATGAAAGAGAGCACATCCAGTTAGTAACCGTCAGAAAAACAGGACTACCGGTACTCTGGAAAAAAATGCCAAGCTCCTATACCTATAAACAAAGGTGTTGATGGCAGCAGCACAGCTGATATTTATCTCTGGGATGGAGTCACAGCCAGACAGGAACAGAACAGATTAATATGCTGTGATGCAAAAAAGCAGAGAGAGCATAACATTAGAGATTGAACTAATAAATACTGCAGAATATGTGAAAAGAGATGGAATGAAGCAGAATGTTGAAGAGGGGTCCCTATGTCATCCAGCAGTCTAAGCCTATAGCAGCATAACTATAGAGTTACCTCAGGATAACCTATTCTGGATTTAATCCTGATCGTAAAAAATTACACTAGTCCAGCATTGCAGTAAGAAATGCAAGGACTAGGGTTAGATATTTTTTTATTTTTTGCAATTTCCCAGAGATTAAACCTCTTTGATATGGGTTTTATGAGACCATACTGTACATTTTTGCAAGTTGTAAATTTTTAAATTGATAAATAGAATAAAATAGTTAGGTTTTTACTCAGAGCTTACTTTGATGATAAAAATGCGTGAATAAAGTATCTTGAAAACTAAGCTTCTCTAACTTTATTCATGGTGGGGTGTTTTTTTTGCAGGCTTCTGTCCTTAAGTATCGTAATAGTATCATAACTTTTTTCCCCCTATTGCTTGAAGATTGTATAACGTAAATCCAAAGGATGAGCACTATGATCCTGACACCTCAGGGCAAATAGGAAATACACAAAATAGGATTTGATCTGGGTGCACATGTAACAATGAAGGGGATTTGACACTGCTTGCTGCCACACTCACAAGTGTTGTTCTTGCAAGGAAATGTGCAGGAAATCCAGGCCAATGGATCAGAACCTGCAGTTATTAGGGTTAATTGTTAGGTATTTCCACATTACAGTCCCATTTTCAGCTATGGATAATATTTGTAGTAGTGGTGTCTTTGTACTATAGTTGTTTCACTGTCAACAGTGTGACTAGACCAATAATGTAAAGTAAGTTTTATTGTGTTACAGTGTTCTGTAAAATGCAGCTTCCTATATGTTGGTTCTGCATGGTATATTTTGTGTTCCACTGCATTAGTGGAAGGGGAAAAAAGCACCTCCAGTTTTAGTAATTATCCTCAGGACTGGCACGTGTTTATCAGCAGCCCAAGAAGAAGTTGGTGAGAAGGTTTTGTACAGAGTACAATGCTGTTCAGTGCCTGGCATAAAACGCAGTAATTTCAATCCAGCACAGCACATTCTGTGCACAAATTGTTGCTTGATATCATTTAGTCGATCACCAAAGAATGATATGGATAAAATACAAAATGTTGTTTTTTTTTTTGACTGGCCAGTTGAATCACATCTAGACTATGAGACTTGTAGTTCTATTCACTGTATATCAGTTGATCTGTGGTTAAAACTCTTATTGTATTATCTCATAATAAGTGGGTGTATTGTGTGTTATCTTGAAAGAGGCCAATATTTAAAGATGCAAACCATTAAATTGAGCTAATAAAATGAGCTGGTTGCATGAGCTACTAGGGAGCATTAATTGACCTCTAAAATACAGTAGATCCTCAGACTGAAAGAAAAATGGGGTGCAGATAATAATAATAATAAATCCTAAAAAAAAAAATATTATCTACATATAGAGCACTTCTTATTAGTAACCTATATCAAAGTGCTACTGTTGTCTATGTCTGCTTATTGACCTCCCCATCCATCCTTCCCTGACTACATTTATCTTTAATGGTTATATGTTTACATGCACACAGACTCTCCATTGCCTAGCATTGTACCAATGCCTCCTTTGTGATCCCTTTGACAGCATGCATTTTTTGCTTGTGAAATTTTGTGTGGCCATAGTGAGTCTTAGATTTGAAAAATTTGTTTCAGTTTAATCCATATATACATTTGCATATCCTACACCCCTGAATTGTGACAGTTTTCTCATTTAATGCAGTATGATCTACGTATTGATGGAGGCAAGTCCATTAAAGTTTGAATGTCTTTAGGAGTCTCAAATCTTTTGGAGCTCAGGCCCTGTATTGTAAGTGCTGCAAGCCCAATGTGTGATTAGAGTTTAACCCTTTGATGCCTGTTGTTGCTAATAAGCAACAAACCTCTTGTATTACACTGCCAAAAATTGAAATCTAAGCAAAACAAATTTTCTTTAAAAAAAAAGCATTTTTTTCCTTTAATTGAGCAGGTAAGTGAGACACTTTGCCATTGGAACAAGACAATGTACATTTAAAATAATAAAAAAACAAGAACTGCAGTCTCTTATTTCAAGTGCATTACATCTTATTATCGAATTTTAAGCGTAAAAATGCTCATTCCATTGGCAGATGATATTATTTTCCTAGTCAAATTAAGGGTAAATACACTTATTTTAAGACATTTTTACTCATTGTAATAACATTTTGCAGTGTAGGCAAACAGACGCCATAGCGTTTTTGCATCATCCCGATGCTAGTCACAGTGTATGTTATTAAGTAGTTATAACTGCTGTTACAAAACATACTCACCTTCATTTCTATTTATTTAGTAACATTAACCATTTTTTTGGCATCTCATCGAAGGGGAAAAACATGCACAAAATGTCTTTTTAGATGTACATTAGGGCTGGGCGATATGGAAAAAAAACGATATCACGATATGGATTATTTTATATCACGATAACGATATATATCACGATATGCCACAACTGATGTTGCATTTTATGTTTTCATAGTCCGTCAGATGGACAGGGTTGAAAAAAATCTTTCATTGCCTATTTTTTACCCATCATCTTGTTTCCTTATATGAGAATCCCAACCTCAAACCAAGAACACCAGTTATGCAATTTGTGGCCATGACAGTGAACAGTATAGAATCTTGGCTAAAAAAAGTTAAGATAAAATAAAAAAGTTTATCACGATAGAAAAAATAGAGGAGAAAGGTCACGATAGACATGTTTCTCTCGTCCTCACGATATATATCGCCATATCGCCCAGCTCTAATGTACATGTATTTCAATTCAGGCTTCAAGGGGTTAACTCCTACATAAGGCTACTTTTTAGACTGTTGCAAGATCTACCCAGATTATCCCTGATATACAGTGCTGTACATGTAAGCACATGTACAGCACTGTATATCAGGGATAATCTAACAACAAGCTGCGCCTGTTCTGTTAACCTTCATGTTCTGTCATTTGTAGTAGGGAATGGTCTGTCTTCCTGAGAAACCCCAAAATACCTCTCCCATGAATCTAAAATAGCCAACCATATTCTAAATATTCCAATTCCAATTTTATTTCAGTTAATATTTCAATTTGTATAATTCTCTATGCAGCATTGGTTGAGTTGGACAGACACAAATTTGGTTTATTTCCCTTAAAATTAAATGCTGAGGGGAATGGAAGAAAAAGAACAAGAGTAATAATGAAGTAAAAAAGGAAAATGGTGGAATGAAGCAGGGGCAAATAAAGGGGGCTCTAGTGATATAAAGTGGAAATGAGAGACAAAGTGTAAGAAGGAGAAAATTAAGATGAAAAAAAGAGAGAGGGTGAAGAGCTAATTTTCTAAATGGAAACTGTAGCAGGAGATTTATTGACGATATGACAGCTGTAATAGGACTATTACACAAGTATAGACACAGAACAGGAGGGAGAGAGGAAAAAAGGGAGGGTGTAGTAAAAAGAAAAAAAAGACAGAAGCATAGATTTTTTGAATAGAGGCCAAATTTGAACAACACAGAGACTGGGTGTATTTAGATAAATTAAATTGTGAACACTGCACTGCATACGCTGAAAATGAGAGCTTGAAAGTTCAGATGTTGTGCAAGATTACTGAATTATTTGCATTCATGCAGTTTTTTTTGCATTCAAGCATAAAACACAGATCATTTAATATAAATTTTAATTTACCCCAACAGACCTGTAACTTTAAAAGGAATTGTGTTTATTGTTAATTGTAATGATATATTCTCTTTCTTTTCAGCTGAATGTGGTTCTTCAGTCATAAATAATGAAGGCATACTCTTGTCTCCAAACTATCCAATGAACTATGATAACAACCATGAGTGCATCTACAGCATCCAGGTAAAGCTGTAAATCTATATGGTTTTCTAGCAAAAAAATAAAAATAAAAAATGCTGTAAAATATGGCAACAGTGACCTGGAAATCGTTATTGGAAAATTGTAAAATCCTTATAGGGTTTTGTTGAATATAATAGCCGTTTTCAGACATGTTGAGTGCATGTTCTGTGTGCTGCTTCCCGTTAACCTCATCTGTATTCCATGTTGACTCAAGGTGCAAGCTGGAAAGGGTATCAACATCTCAGCTCGAACATTTCATCTTGCCCAGGGCGATATTCTCAAGGTAAATGCGCTCACACATACATTAAGCTATGTCTGTATCATTTCACCTAGCGGATATCTGTGGCTAATGCCAAAAGTAAATCATTAAAAGACGTAATCAGGCCAGAGCGGTGTTCGTTTTTAATACATGTTTAATAATGGGTACGTTATTCTGTTATTTGTACAGATTTATGATGGTAAAGATAACACAGCTCAAGTCCTTGGAGCATTCACTGGCTCGTCTATGTTGGGCCTCACTCTAATTTCCACATCAAACCACCTCTGGTTGGAGTTTTACAGTGATGCTGAAGACACTGGAGAAGGATTCAAATTGGTCTACTCAAGTAAGTGTAGGATACCTGCTGTTTATCAACTCGTTACACATTTTGCTATGCTTGTACAGTGCCTCTCAAAGGTATTCATAACCTCTGAAGTTTTCCCAGTTTTTTTACCATGCATCCCCAGAGTTCAATGTATTCCACTGAATATATTTGTGTGATAAACAATCATTGCGTAGTGTGTAATCTCAAAGAAAGGATTTTCACATAACAGGGTGAGCTTTTTTCATCAGCATCCCTGAGTCAATACTCTGTTGGAGGAAACCTTTTGTTGCAATTATCCCTGGAAGTCTTTGATCTTTGAGGGCTATTTAAAGTCATTAAATAGCTCAAAATTAATCAGATTAGAAGTGTCTGTAAATATCTTGCCATGCAAACACATGAGCAGGCTCTGATTTAAAGAAATCTACTGTAACCCCAATTATATGTATATGTTTGTTGTTAGGGTGGAAAGTTAACCTTCCCCCCTGTCTCAGATTAAAACATTCAACAAATACTGTATTTGATTTCTAAAGGCACTTGGTAGCATTTTATTTAGCACAGAGTTTATTGTCAGTGTGCACCAACATTTCAGGATTTTTTTGTGCACATAAATGTTTTGAAAACCAAAAATATTTTAATTTTACTCTGTGATTATTCACTACCTTCTGTTGGTCTATCACATATAATTACACACATAATGCGTCAAAGATTTGATTGTAATGTTTTACAAAATGTAAAAAAGTTGAATGGGTATATGTTGTTGAAAACAAATTTAACGTAAAGGCTTAAAATCTAATGTGATGTCCTCTTAGTAATGTAATATTCAAACATCTACTTTATTTGTTATAAGTTACCGTAGCCCATACATTATAATAATCCTTAATTATGATATTCTAAACCTGTATAAGCACAAAATAACTTGCTAAAGAAAGACACAACTGCCCCTGAAACCAGCTTTCCTAAATTAGGCAAATTTTATTGCAAAAGCTAAGATTTCACCTTAGGATGGAGCAACCTGAAATATTTAAGATCTTCATCTTTAAAAAGTCTTCATAATAGAGCTGAGTCATGCAAAAATTTATTTGTAGCAAAGCTCCTGTAGTTATTTGATGTTTTATTGTCTTTTTGCTGATTGAGTGGCAATGAACTATACTTTGGCTGTTCAATCTTTAGTTTCTGTTTGTGACTTTAAGCTTGAATGTGTTTTATCTAAGTTTGATATGAAGGGCGAAAAATATAATGCAGTATAACTCTTAGAGGCACTTCAATAAATAATTCATGGTCTTTTGCTTTCTTTCAAATATTGTCACAAATAAAGTTTGAGATGGGTGGCCGTTCACTCCCAGGTTGATGACAGCTATGGCTGTATTTCTCACTAAATGAGCACTGCTTTCATTATGGCCAAATTTAAGGATTTAGACATACACCTGCATTAGTCTACCAGGAAAAAGCTCCCATGCTGGCGCGCCCTGTCTTCTGGGTAATGTCATAGATCAAATCCCGGTTATGGTCTTGTAAGTATATTTATAAATCTATTCAAATCCCATGCTGTAAAACTGTGCAGCAACTACATATTCTGAATATCACCATGGAAACTGGGCTCAGACAGACTATGAAGAACAATCTTAAACTGGCTACAGCATATACTTCTATGTTCTAAGTTCTATGTATCTTTTTTTGTTTTGTTTTTTTTTTCTGTTAAATTAGGGTTGGTGCTTTACAGAACTATTAGGAAACTTGAAAACAGAACACTTGAAAGTGCTAAATATCTATGGAATATTGGTGTGCAGCTATATTCACAGGATATTTTTCTCTCTTTATTTTTATTTCTGTTTAGGTTTTGAGCTGTCTCATTGTGAAGACCCTGGGGTCCCTCAGTTTGGATTCAAAGTCAATGACCAAGGCCATTTTTCTGGGAGTAGCATTACATACAGATGTGAGCCTGGTTACACTTTGCATGGAGCTTCCACGCTTAAGTGCATGACAGGTGAAAGGAGAGCCTGGGATAACCCTCTGCCCTCTTGTATTGGTAAGTTCTTCCTACATAAAGATGTTTTTCAATCCATGAAGATAATTCAAAACTAATATAGTTCCCAATAAAATCGAAATATATGACACTTTAGCTCAGTTTGCACATTCATAAGAGAGATTGGGTGTTTTGCTATTGTTTTCTGGAGTACAGGTAAAACATATCCTACCAAAAGAGACATTTTGAAGGCATTTTATATATAAAGTACTGGAGAGATTTTGGTAAAAATTTTACCAGCCATATTGATATCTCTATCTTTATTAACAGGTGGCAAGTTATTTTTCAAGTGTCCTTTTAAAAATATCTAAACAATGAAATAGCAGGAGGGCTTGGCAAAGAAGTCATTGGTCAACATTACCTCTCCACCAGTCTTTATCTTTGGTCTCCACAGTAACCAGAGGTGGACAATAGAGGTCAAGAAAGTAAAAAGCTTAACAGAGATTAATTCCAACCTTCTCTATTTAAAACTCCACAAAATCACCTGGTTAGGTGAACAAAACGAGGCAAAATTAGGCAGAGGTGAACCTGGATTGTGGCTCAAAAAATTGATGTGGGGTCTTCCACTTTTTTTTGTTTTGTTCCATTAACCTTAGCATCTTTTAAGTTTAGAATGACTGTCTTACTGTGTCTAACCTAAGCAGTGTGTTTACAAAGAGGTGGAAAGCTTACAGAAAATGACAGTGAGTACACCTTTATGATCCTAAACAGATTAGTTAGTTAGTTAGATTCCATATTATGCAGAATTCTCATTTAAAACAATTTTCTGCACTCTTAGCTGCTGTTTACAAACTGTGAATTATCATGGTTGTGGGTTGTTTGAGCTGGCCTTCGCTAGGATGAGAGTGAGGAAAGCAAAAACAGCTCATCGAAAGGGTGGGATAAGGAGGATTTTGGTAAAGGCTGTCTACCTAATCTGAGGGACATTTTAATGCACAACAAAAACAAGCTCTGGGGGCCTCACTTATATATTTTTTTTTCTCTATGTAGCATAATAAGGGACCTCTAACAATAAATCATAAAAATAATAACATAATAATAATGATAATAATAAATACTTATTTTTTTTTTTACTCCAAATTCTTCACTTTGCATTTAGAAGTTTTATTTAGAACTCTCTGCAGTCCCAAGAGTCCAAATAATAAATTACTTCAACATTTGTTATGGTCTTAAATCTTTGAACATGAGTTAATGTTGCATCAACTGAAACTGGTTAGTAGAAGTGTTTAGCTGTTATAAAACTATCCATACTGCGATTGTAGCAAAGCAGCTGGCCTACCATTCTCATGTAATCATATTGGCAGAAAACACTTAAGCCTGGCATGAAGTGAACCATTGCAAAAGCTACAAGATGTCAAACTTTAAATCTCTCTTTTACTTTTACACTATCAGTAGTCAGTCATTTCAATGCATATCTTTCCAATCATTAAGTCTTCATCCATCTTAATGCAGATGGAGGTCACAACCCTGAGCCATCAGAACTTAGAGGAATAAAAAGAGTGAAAGACTGAAGAAGTTTCTTATGCACTAAGACCTTTTCACACTTTACTTTGTGACTAGTTGAGAAGAATGATAATGTCAAAAAAAAAATGTGTTGAATGAACTAAATTCATAACAATAATAACAAAATTATTGCCTTAAATATGGATGCCTTTTGATCTAACTTGAGCATTTGACAGGATATAATGCATCTGAAATTCATTACTATAGTCTCTGACTTGCGATATGTGTTTCTGAAATCTTTGATCATGCTCTGTAATACAATATCAAATGGTCGCCTGCTTTAAGCAGTCTCGGAGAAGATTCTCTCTCTAAACTTAAAATCTAAAAAGGAGAGATGGCAATTTCCAGTTTATTTATTTCTCCTGAAAATCATTTATGATAAGACACACTGACCCATACGGATAAGTACTTCCTTGTAGGGGCCATTTTTCTTTCTGTGGCTTGAGGGTGTACACATGTATCCCCCCTGCTCAAGCATACTCCTAAATACATACACCCACAAGGACAAATTCCCTATCAACATCTATTGATGTCCCTGTTTAATGCTAAAGGCTAGACAACTATCCAGGTTATAAAAAAAAAAATTGCATCATAATACAGTTTAAATAATCTATTCTTTTTTTTACAGACTAATGCATCAATGTACCTGGTGTTTAATAGAAGCAATAAACTGCAATGGGAAAATACTTTCTTTGGAGAATTTACACTTTTGTAAATACTCAGCCCTCTATCTCTTGTTTCACTTCATTCTCCCAGTGTGCAAACGGATGAATCATTATCACACCACAGTCATAAACATTGACTTAAACAAATCAATAATGTTCTTCCACTAGCTTTACAGTCTACTTGGCCTCCAGAGCTCTCTTAAATTATCCCAGTGTGTCACAGTAGTACATCTTATGTATGCAAATTAGTTTTCCTCCTAACCACTATAAAGTAAGTCAAACATGCTGCTATGGTAATGTTCTATAGATATAATATAATCTTGCCAGAACTTACAATGTAAGCCACCACTATTCTGCTAATACAGTTTGTATGCTAATAGTAGCATGCACAGAAGATTATTTTGATTTTATGTACATCCAAGCTCAATGTTCCTTTCAGTTTTTAGCTGTTGAATAGATCATCTTTTCTTCCAAAGCCATGAAAATGCTTCCAAACAGCAGATTTAGATTTTTATTTTAATCATAAGCCATTAGAGATTAAAGTAAGTTAGATTAGATCATTTAATTATTAATGATGTCCTCTTTAAGATTGACATGGTTGCACATCTGGCATCTCTGTGATATTTCTTGCAAACATGTTCCTGTAAAGAGGGTTAAAACAGCAGCTAATAACAGCTTTGAATGCTTTCACTAAATGCTCACATTAAGCAATCATTTATAATGAAAAGGTCACAGATGGCAGTCCTGCTAAAGATGTAACTATTCTTCTGTAAAAAGGCGAGTTTTATTTTATTTTTTCCACAGTATATCATCCTTTATACCTTTATGATAATAATATAGATATCACTCAAACTATATGAAATGGCGATGATACATTTTAGAACATTTAATTATCACTGTCGTCTATTATTATTATTATTTGTCTATCTATCTATCTCACTGTTAGGCATGTCCAAAGTCTAACATGTTTGGTCTCTAAACATTAAAGCACAACTGGTTTGATTATTTAATAAATCTGGCATTATTAGCTTATATTTGATATTTTATTTAAATGTAAGTTAAAGGTAAATGTAATTACTGGACAACCTTTCTTGTGTAAGCAGATACAATACATAACATATTAGATACAGCAGTGACATACAATATTATGTTGGTATTGTCGAAGATTTATGTAACCTTTGTATCATGTCTGGGGAAATTCAACTTCATTCAGGTTAAGTCAACCACAAAACAGGCTTAATTGGAGGCTGTTGTTTTGTATGGGTCTTGTGTTTGGGCATTTTTATCATAATAAGCATTATTGTGTAACCTTGTTCTGAAGAGGTTACACAAAATGGGAAGGATTGCGCAATTTCAGCTTCCAAACATATACAGTACAGCTCTGCCATGGAGCTCATTTTGAAGAGCTTACACAATCATGTTAACTATGAATAAAATGGCCAAACATAAAACCCATTAGAAAACAAAGACTCCAACAACCTAAGAGAGCAACAAGTTCATCTGAGCCCCGGCTCAAGGGGGCTATCTGAACTGATTCCTCAGCAGGGACTCCCTCTGATTAGTATCGGAAAGTCCCTTTGCAGGGTTGGGGCATGCCCTGGACCTCTGACCTGATCAGTTCCAGGGTATCGCCTGTGTGGCTGCGGTTGTCGATGCGGTTAGGTCAAAGGGTTCGGTACCCTGTGACTCTTTGTCCATGGGGTTACCTCTCCTGTGCTTGGCTGTGATCTACCTTTGTGTAGGGCATATGGCTGCCTTGCTTTGGATTTTGGGCCTCATACCATCCTTGCCAAGAACACAAACATTATCATCTTGTTACCAACTTGTATTCACAACACAATTTATCAGATAGATATGCTGACCACTTCAAACACACATTTACACACAGATATGCACAATACACACTAGCTCTAAACTATTAAAGGTAAGAAAAAAATGACTACTCTAACTATTTCTGTGGGATGTGTTCTTTAATATTGAATTTAACCTAAAATTAGAATTTATTAATTTAACAGAATACTATATAGAGATTTCCTTTTTGTAGAAATCAGCCCATCAAATGTAGGCAGCCATGTACCCCATATGGTATGCCTGAAACATTGCTACACAAAAAACAACACAACATAAAAAAAAGAGAATGTTCAAATAGTGTTTGGAAAGCAAAACAATGGTTCAAACTGCAACCACAAACCTGTGAACAAAAGAACAGTTTGAACAGATTATAAACCTGCTTCTATATCCAAATTAATGCAAAAGTCTTTCTATTAACAAAGCTGGTGTCTACAGCAGTCATTTCAATGTTGTCAATATGTCCCTTTCTTCCTTTTTTTTCCCCTTTCAACTTTCTGATTTGAAATGCAGCTTAATAAGTCGATCTCCTTTTCACTATTAATAATGAAACACTCATAAAACCACTGGCTAAAACTCCCTGACTTTATATTTTAGCAGTGACACACTGTGACCTCATCTAACCGCTGGTCTTAATATTATATTTTTTGTTATTACTCATAGTATTTCTTTCTTTACACCCCTTGGTTCTGCCTTACCCCTTCTTTTATTTTTTGCCTTCTCTCACTGTATCCTTTCTCCATCCTAAAGTGGTTTACTGCTCCTATTACACGAGATAATATATTCCAGTGATGAGGAGCCTGAGGGAGGAGGAACTTGCAGAGGGAAGAAGAAAGGGGTTGGAGATTGTGAAAGTATATAACTGGAATAGACAAAGTAAGAAAGAGGAATTATTTTAGTTATATAATGTGAGGTGATTTCTTGAGGGACGAATGCAAGATCAGCACTTTGTTTTTTCTTCCCGCTCTTCTCTCTTCTCCTCCTCATGTTCTCTTTGAGAGAAAGGGTGAAAAAGACAGCAAGATGCAGAGGCGGGGTGTCGGTTTCATTTTTTAATCACTTTCACTCTTTGATGATCACTAAGCAGCCCTTGAGGTACACCTAGTCAGTATGATTGCTTCGATAAACAAATGCCACAGGCGGATAACAGGTTGACGTGACATACCTCATCAACACATTTGTTATACCAATTTAGCATTTGCACTGCTTCACTGGTCGGCGTGTAATGCCCTTTCATGCTAATCTATGTATTCTAAAAATCTTACTTCTTTACAATATTTCTATACTAACTATAATGCATGTCTCTTATGTGTTTGTAAAACCTGCAGCTGAGTGTGGGGGCCGTTTTAAGGGGGAATCTTCAGGCAGGATTCTTTCTCCTGGATATCCTTTTCCCTATGACAACAACCTTCGGTGCACCTGGACCATTGAGGTGGATTCTGGCAATATTGTGAGGTAAAGAGAGATTCTCTTTGACGTTTTGGTAATATCCAAATGGCAGAATCCACGTACAAGCCAAAATTAGTAAAAAAATAAATAAAAAAATAAAAAAAAAGTATTCAAAAAAGAAGAAAAGAAAATAATTTATGTCTTTTAGATAGACAAGATTTACTGGTATGTTGTTTTTGAGGATTGGAATTTTGTGGAAAATTAAATTTTATAGTAAAAACAAACAACAAATTTTGTACATATGAAAGTCACCAAATATCACAATATAGCCATCACCCATAATATAGGTAATGATAATAAATAAGGGCACAATTTAGTCTGATTTTAGTGCCATAATTTCCTTGATTTTTGTCGTAACCCTGACAATGTAGTGTGCAGTATATTAGTAGATCTGCATATTTTTCTTACATTTAGAATGCCGAAAAATTCTAATGTAATGTTATTTTGAATTTGTAAGATTAATCATTATTCAGTGCAACTATACTGGAATTGAAAGAGGCTTTTCTCTTGTAATCTAGTTGAGGCTGGGAGCAGAGGTAAAGTCTTAACATGACTGAGAGAGTGCAGTCTATGCTTAAAACAGACAAAATCACTGGACTTGACTTTATAGTCATTAGCATCTTTTAATGACAAGATTACCATGACATGCATAGCTAAACATCAGCCTGTGTGTGTGTTCAACAAAAACTTACGTGACCTTTAGCTTAATGGTGATATTTCCCAAAGGTTGCCAGTATTGCCTACATCATCATGTTCCTTGACTGACAGAAAAGGACTATTCAAAAGGATAGACTAAAGCAAGTTGCTGTTCGAGTTTAGATTCCTGTCCTCTGCTATGTATAATCCTCTTTTGGTAACCCACTGTATATGATCCATCAAAGAAACATCGAATGTCATCAGATTTTTTAATTTCAATTTGCCAGTTATCAGTCAGGTTCAGTCAAACATAAAATGTGTTTCTGATCAGTTATATTTCTAGCTTTTCCATTCAATTTGCACAATGATTGTGGTTTGATGATTCCTTTTCAAAATGTTTTTTTTTTCACTTTTAAACATTTTACCATTTAAAAATACAGATAAAGTAATTTTAATATTAGAGCATATTCTTCAAAATAATTGCATATTTTACTTTATTATCCACATTAAAAACTGTGGAAGTTCAAAACTAAGTACCCAACACTGAATACATTTTGACTGAAATAAATAATCTATATTATCTTTGTTTGCTTTGAATCAGTCTCCAGTTCTTGGCCTTTGACACGGAAGCCAGCCATGACATGCTGAAAGTTTGGGACGGACCACCTGAAAATGAAATGTCTTTGGCAGAGCTGAGTGGATCTTTGCTCCCCGAGGGAATCCATTCTACATTAAACACGGTCACTGTCCAGTTTGAGACAGACTTTTATATCAGCAAGTCAGGATTTGCCATTGAATTTTCCAGTAAGTAATAACATTTTGAAATAATATGTTGTAAAAGAGAAACTATCCTTCAAACCAGTTTGATTGTAAGGTTATCCATCTCTTAGATGGTTCTAAATATTCAAAAAATGTATTCTTTTATTCATTTATTTTATCAGAATTCATAAAGTACAAAGTAAGCCAAAATGTTTATATTTTTTATATCTATTTTTTTTCCTAATTCGTGAGAAAACTGGTTTTAATTGACATGTAATAATGCATTCAGTTTTAGAAGAAACTCTAATTTATATCTGTGCCAGGAAATTGTATTGTCTTTGATTTGCAGAACTGATTCCAAATCTTAGGATAATTATGTTTAAAAAAGCAATTGATCTAAACTCCTATGTCAACTCTGGGAGTGAGTTACTACATATACTATGCTCATTTGCATACATTTTTAAGGATGTTTTAATCTATTTAGAAATAGTTTAAATGTACGGTTAAACACTGGGCATTCTCTCAGTTGCAGTACTTCCTGAACACTGAGCTTGACCCTGTTTTTTGTAATTGTTCTCCTTTTTCCTCCTCCATTTCAAACTTTGTCACTGTCTCCCATCTCTCCAGGCTCAGTAGCAACAGCCTGCAGGGACCCAGGTGTGCCAATGAACGGCACGCGCAGCGGAGACGGCCGTGAGCCGGGGGATTCAGTGTCCTTTCAGTGCGACCCTGGATATGAGCTCCAGGGGGACGACAAAATAACCTGCATACAAGTGGATAACAGATACTACTGGCAACCCAGTCCACCTGTCTGCATAGGTGAGGAGTTTAGCTGAAGTCTATTCTGCTGGGACATGAAACAGATGCACTGCACACACAGCTGGAGTTGTTCAGTTTCAGGGAAAGGACTCAAGGACACATCTGTCAGTGACTAAAAGGATGACTATTGGAATTCTCTATGCCTATTTTTAGACATTCTGATTTACATATCTATCTATCTATCTATCTATCTATCTATCTATCTATCTATCTATCTATCTATCTATCTATCTATCTATCTATCTATCTATCTATCTATCTATCTATCTATCTATCTATCTATCTATCTATCTATCTATCTATCTATCTATCTATCTATCTATCTATCTATCTATCTATCTATCTATCTATCTATCTATCTATCTATCTATCTATCTATCTATCTATCTATCTATCTATCTATCTATCTATCTATCTATCTATCTATCTATCTATCTATCTATCTATCTATCTATCTATCTATCTATCTATCTATCTATCTATCTATCTATGATTTGTATCCATAGATAGATTGATGGATATTATGCATGTAGTATTCTGTGAATTTATTCTGAATTGTGTTCTTATTACAGCACCTTGTGGAGGAAATCTGACTGGTTCCTATGGATTCATTCTCTCTCCTAACTATCCTCATCCCTACCCACACTCAAAGGACTGTGACTGGCTCATCGCTGTCAACTCGGATTATGTCCTTTCGCTTGCCTTCATTAGGTGACCTATCAACCAAATGTCAAGTCATTGTCAATTTTTTTTTTTTTACTCTTGAATCTAGTGCATTGATCTCATGCAAATCTAACCTTTTGGTTATGTTTTTGTATCAACTACAACTAAATCACAGAGGTGTTTGCATTTTAATCTGAAAAATCTGTACATATATTGAAATGTTTATATGTCTAGTAAATGTTAGATGTCTTTTTTACCGGTAATGGATGGGCAACATGCTAGGTTTTATTGTGACTCTTGGTGAATTTAAAAGAAAAAGCAATTACTGATTATTCTAATGCTTCTGCAGGTGGTGGGTGTGAAAAAGGGTGGGAAAAATCATTGTATCCAGTTAAAAAAACAAACAAAGCAATAAAACAAACAAAAACCTACAGAACACTATGACGCTAAAAGGCCTTTTTAAATGTCCAGTGCCGGACAGCTGTTTCATATCCACATGACTTATGACTTATGTAAAAAAAGTTATCGAACACCCTCTTGTGTATTTGGTTGTTGATCAGCAATAGGCTCATAACGTTACATTGTTGGCATTGTAACAACTTTTGTCCACATTCTTAAATGTCCAAACTGTTAACTGACCATTAGATTTTTAAATGCTTATACGCATCACAACACTATTTCATAGAGATTATTACTTCAGTTCTCCATACTTTGGTTCAAGCTTAAGCTTCAAAAGTTAATTAAGTTTAGAAAATGAGCAAACAACACAGGAGTATCGTGTCTGAAATGTTGAATAGATGGTTAATCTCAGCCCACATCCATGCTGGTCTTAACATAATCTCATAATCTGGGGTCTAACACCAACACTGAATCAGATAAACACTGTCATACAACCTGGATTAGACTTCAAGCTTACAACCCAATACATTATATGAGATAAAGAATAAGACATAGGCGATAACTTTTAAACTCTGATATTACAAAGTAACATGACAATCCAATTTTGTCCCAATAAGGTTTTTTCAATTAGTTGATGAAAACCTTTATCAAATTGATTAGTTACTTTACCATAAGAAAGCAACAGTAAAAATAGATAGAAACTCAAAAAGTTTTCATCATTATGCATTTTTTCAACTTGTTTGAAAAAATTAAGCTTTTTCTCTAACATGCCAGAAAACTGACAAACATGGCACTAAAATTATTAATTTTAACTTAACATGGAACTCTGCTTTCTCTTTTTGATTTTTACCCCCCCTGCATTTTTTTCTTTTTTACCTTTTAGTTTCAACATTGAACCAAACTACGACTTCCTATACATCTACGATGGTCCGGACAGCAACAGTCCTCTCATCGGAAGCTTCCAGGACAGCAAACTTCCAGAGCGCATAGAAAGTAGCTCGAACACCATGCTTCTAGCTTTCCGGAGCGATGGCTCTGTTTCATATACTGGCTTTCACCTGGAATACAAAGGTAAATAAGATCTTGAATACTGTGTGTAGAAGTAGACCCGTTAAACAAACCAAATAACTTAAGGTTGTCTTTTAAAAAATTAAATAAATGGATAAATAAAGGAATATATATAGCCCAAAGCAAAGCCACAATTTAAAAAACATAATTATTTACATCTTTTTGAGTGCTACCAATCCTAAACCTAAAGCAATTGCTTAGTTTTGCAGCCCCAGCAATCATTCTTCCATCTAAGTTGCTGTTTCTTGTCCAAAGGGAGTGCAGAGATGGCTCCCTTTCTGCTTGATAGTGTATCTCTTGTATAGTTCCCTTAGGACAGCATGCTTTATCTTCCAAGCCACTGATGATTCTCCAGTGCTGTCCTTTGTGTACTAGATGAGTTGAGTTTAGAAAGGACCAATCAAACAGATGGTGGGGGCCTGCTCTCCTGTGACAAGAGATTTGTTGTATCTTTCATTGGCTTTAGGGCCTTGATGATCTTCTCCTGCTTTTGATATGTCTGCTTCTCTGGGAGTACAGATGTTAAGACTCTCCCTCTCTTCACCTGATGAGACAGTATGAGACGGCACAGACTGCAGGCTGTTGCTCTGCAGAAACCTGTCAACCATCTCACAGGCGCTGTTCCACCTGGTGCTTACAACTGTTTTCAGCTCTTGTCTCGACAGACCAACCAGCTTCTGTTCTCTTCAAGCTGGTGTTTTCCACTTGCACCCCACTAATACATCTCATCCTCCACCCTAGCCATTTAAGAATAGGTAACTAAAGTGCTCGCTCAAAGGAAAAGCTGTATGGGTGGGCACAGTATTACCTTGGTTTTACAGAATGACAGATGTCTCAGCAGTAACCAGGTTGTGAAAGATCTTTTCTTCTATTTTGGCTATGTTCTTATTTATGACATTTATTCATTGCCTTTTATAACTCATAAGACACAATATAAACCAGTGTTTTTAGTAGCTGAAGTTAACGAGCAACCTTAGCTATTTATCTTTATTTATTGGTTTGGTTCTTATTATTCTTGGGTGGTATGGGATTCCTATGATATAATACAGATTTTTTTTTAAATACCATAATTTTCCTCTATTTATACAAAAATGTCTAACAAACTTGTTTATTTAAAAAAAATATTTAAAAATTGAAGGGTGCAACCCACAACTTTTTTATCATAGTTGTGTAATGATATTAATAACTTAGGCCTATGCTATACTATTGGTACTGTAGGTGCTTTGTCTGCAGACTCACTCTGGAATGGTGTTGGCTTAAATTGGCACCAGCTTCTGATGATGAAGAGGTGTACACACAGTGGTTCTTATTGCTATGATAATACGTGTGTGTTATTGTTTAAATCTGATATTGTAAATGGTTGTAGATATTTCTACTCTCCAATGAACTAAATACTCTAGAATGATGTGCAATACACAAATTACAAGGAAGTTTTAGCGGTTTAATGACATAGCAGATTATTTAGTGAGATCAGCTGGTTCTCCCGGTCTTGTTTGGGGCCTAGAAAGTGCTGAGCAACAGCAATAAAAAAAAACAGGGTTTCAGAGTGGACCAGCCAGATTTGTTGACCACAAAATCCATGGTATGGAGCTACAGTAATAATAGAAGAACAAAGCATCATCTGAGGCCACAGTGTAATCATTATCATACATTTTGTTTTCATCGACTTCATCTGGAGGTTGTTGAGTAGCTGAAAGGCTGTAATCTGCAGCGGTTTGTTTGCCATGCCAACTGTGGTACAAAGTTATCTAAACCCACTGGTGCACCCACTTAAAGTTGTTTCCATGTGTAGGCCCTTTTATCTTCTTAAAGAAGTCACTGTGGTGGTTAAAACAGCTGTTCAAATCCAAGCGAATGCCAATGCTAGAGCACAACCCCCTCACTTCTAAATCTATTACCTGGCAGATAAGGATTTATCCAGATGAGGCTTTCATTGTTGTTGGGGAATTAAATAAGACATGCTTGAAATCTGTTCTCTCCAGCTTTGATCATTATCTTCAGCGTTACCCTAGAGGTGTAAATAACATTAACTGGGTACATTCAAACTTGATACAAGTGTACAAAACTCTACTCCTCCCCCACCTTGAGACTTTCCACCCTCTTTTACTGCTACTTATTCCTGCATCCTCAATGCCCAAAAGAATAACAAAGCCAGTGACAAAAAAAACATACTGTAAAGATGGAAGGTGATGCAAGGGATTCAGCATCTGAAGTACTGAAAAGAAACTAAAGGGTAATGCTATCTTCCTGGCAGTATTAAACTTCTTTGCCCCTATTGTAATAATTAGAACTTGTTTACCACTAAGACCTCATCAGATCACCAGTCCTAAACCTATCATCCTGCAGAATCCTCAGTTTAGCTGTGTCTTGAAGAGTGAGAACCCGCAAAGAGCTAGTGGTCCAGAGTTCAAACTCTTGGGGAAGATTCTCAGTCATCCAGGTCATAGTGATTCCAAAAAAAGTTAAAAAACAAACCACAGGACTTTGTTTTCCAAGTTTGACGACATTTTGCTTCCCATACAGAAAGATTTCGCGATTCAAAACGTCTGGAGTAGTGCTGAGTTCCAGGCTTTATAGAGTAACCCAAAAAAAGCTTTGTTATGGCTTTGAAAATATGGAAATTGAACCGAAAATCGGACCACCCCTGTCACTGTTAGCTTGCAAATAAACCCCAAACTGGCCCATGCCTCTGTAATGGGGAGTTAAGGGTCGTTATTGATCTGGCTTACAGGAGTGATGTTTTGATCCCCCGCATGGTGATAGTGGTAAGGAATCAACTCTAACGCTGTGTTATAGGTTTTTGAAACTGAAGCCTGAGTCTTACTTAACTGTCCAAATAGCTTTTTGGATTCCTGAAAGTCATTTTTGACATATTGCTGGCTCAAGTGACCTGACTGAAAACAGCCAATACCCCTGTATATGTATGTATATATATATATATATATATATATATATATATATATATATATATATATATATATATATATATATATATATATATATATATATATATATATATATACACACACTGTTTAAAAAATTAAAGGAACACTTTGTAAACACATCAGATCTCAATGGGGGAAAAAGTCATGCTGTTTATTTATACTGATATGGACGGGGTGATGTGTTAGGAACAAAAGGATTCCACATCATTTGATAGAAATCAAAATTATCAACCTACAGAGGGCTAAATTCAAAGACACCCCAAAAATCACAGTGAAAAAATGATGCAGCAGGCTAGTCCATTTTGCTGAAATTTCAATGCAGCAACTTAAAATGGTATTCAGTAATTTATATGGCCCCCTCGTGTGTGTATGCATGTCTGACAACGTGGGGGCATGCTCCTAATGAGACAACGGATGGCGTCCTGGGGTATCTCCTCCCAGATCTGGTCCAGGACATCACTGAGCTCCTGGACAGTCTGAGGTGCAACCTTGCGGCGTCGGATGGATCGAAACATAATGTCCCAGAGGTGTTCTATTGGATTTAGGTCAGGCGATCATGGGGAAAACACAGGGTGCCAGTGGCGGACTTGCCAATTCCGGTTTTCTGTGGCAAATGCTCTAGGGTGCCGGACAATGAGCACAGGGCCCACTTGAGGATGTCGGGCCCTCAGGCCACCCTCGTGAAGTCTGTTTCTGATTGTTTGGTCAGAGACATTCACACCAGTGGCCTGCTGGAGGTCATTTTGTGGGGCTCTTGCAGCGCTCCTCCTGCTCCTCCTTGCACAAAGGAGTAAGGAGGAGCTGATGGGTTGTAGACCTTCTACGTCCCTGTCCAGCTCTCCTGGAGTCTGCCTGTCTCCTGGAATCTCCTCCATGCTCTTGAGATTGTGCTGGGTGATACAGAAAACATTCTGGCAATGGCCCGTATTGATGTGCCATCCTGTAGGAGTTGGACTACCTGTGCAATCTCTGTAGGTTCCAGGTAGCTCCTTATGCTAACAGTAGTGACAGTGACCCTAGCCAAATGCAAAACTGGTGAAAAAGAGTCAGAAAAGATGAGGAGGGAAAAACATGTCAGTGGCCTCCACCTGTAAAACCATTCCTGTTTTGATGGTCGTCTTGTTGTTGCCCCTCTGTTGTTAATTTGTTGTTAATTTAATTAACACCAACACCAACTCTGCTACTTACCTGACCAAATCAATATCCCAGAAGTTTAATTAACTTGATGTAGTGTATATATATATATATATATATATATATATATATATATATATATATATATATATATATATATATATATATATATATATATATATATATATATATATATATATATGTGTGTGTAGTTTATTTTCAAAACTGCTTAAGACTGTTTCTTTTATTCTTGCACCACACAATGGCAGCTAAATCAGTTTCATTGGACAGTGATGCATTCTGATAATAAAAGCATTTTATTCTGTAACTAACAGTAGTATGACCTATGGTTTAATTATGCATTTTTTCCCACCTGGGGGCACTCTCCAGGTTTGTATAGGGCCTGGCTTTTTATTAGGCAATCAAGTATGGAGAAAAGTTAACTACACAATGCTGTCAGGAGAAAAACAATATTTACACCCTGATGTAGTAGAGCACTGGGAATTTTACACTCACCTTCCCAATATTAATGCGCTGTAAAATCAGAGGAAACATCATCATTATTTCAGAGAAAGGACTTTATTTTCTTCATGCTCAGAACTGCATAAAATTGTATTTGCTTTAGGAAGCTTGTTTTCCTCTTGCTTAACTTTGTCCATTTTATGTTCCTTGGCCTTCTAGTACACCAAGATTTTTTTTGTTTTACCGCTTTTGACTTGGAGCTTGTGGCTCCTTTAGATGGCTGAGTTTAAATATCAAGAAACTAACTGCAACATCACAGTCTATCTGGGTGAAGAAAGTTGAGATGAAGGTGTGCTGCCCTTGATTCATCGGCTAAGCTACATTCAAGCACTCATGATCATATGATAAGCAATTTGACTGCTAAATGAAAAGTCAGATATTTACATCTTTTAAAGGTTGGGTAGGTCAAAAAGCTCAGCCATATGGAATGTTCTTACATTTAAATCAGTCACAGAGAAGAAGGACATCTTCAATACAGAAGAAATGCTAGAGAGATAATCTTCTACACTAATGTGGCCAATTCTTTTGTTTAAAACTGAAACATATTAAGAGGTTGTTTTTTTTTTGGAAACATCTTTCACAAGTTAATATTGAACTATAACATTTGTAGTTTGTAATTGTCTAAAACTGGACCGAGCTCTATGGAAATTTGAGACACGGCAGCAATGGAATGCTGACATTTAAAGTTATGAATGTTTTTGTCAGCAAAACCTCATGGTAATAAATATTTATAATTTATATTATTTATATTATTATATATTTATAATTATACATAAATATTTCCCACCGAATAAAATTGGTTGAGAAGACATTGAAAAGACGTCATGGTATGCGTCCAAAAAACATCTACATTTGGTTGAAAAGTGAAAAGCCTTGATTTTCTGACCAAACACAGTCTAACTTTCAATAAGGATTTTTGGACTAACTAAAGACTGTGACGGACCAACCAGATTTAGCCTAAAAACAAACATCGAAATGACGTCTAGTGTTTTGGGGGGGTTGTTACTACTAAGTCAGTAAAAGGAAAAATGTGACATAAGGAACTTTTTAATTTTATTTTTTTATCCTAGTGCCATACCTTTTGCACCCATACAAGTTTATATGAAATAAATGTGACTCAACCATTTTTATTTTACACCTTACAGTATGTATATTAACCATACTTTCTATATACATTTAAAATTTATTTGATAATACATGTTAGTCCATCTATCTGGATAGTAGTAAAAACAACAAACTAGTATTTTATCCAAAATAACAAATCCAGACAAACACTTTATTCGAGGGAAAAACATATATCATTATTTTTACAAATATGGGTACAAAAAATAAGTTCCACAAATAAAGTCATACGCTAAACATTGACCAGGTTGTCACATCAACAGACACATAGAACATTATAGTTGGGACACAAAGTAAAATCTCTTGAGATGACGGTTTGAGAACTAAAATCATATTGTGAGATTTTTATACTGCAATTAAATATAAACTTATTTGAAGGCTTATAATCTATTGTAAATTTAGCATATTGTGAAAAATATTACAAATGTGGCTTCGAACTCCCATGCAGCTAAAAAGGCTGAAGCTTTCTTTCAAGATGACACATGAAGTTGAGCAAACCAGGAATGCTCTGCAGGGCTCCAATTTACTCTGATTTAGTCCACCGACGTTTTAAGCGTTATGGGTGTTTCCAAACAACAGTAATTGGCTTTCTCAGCTTAAACTTCTAACATGTTGTAGAGTTTTAACAAAGGTAGTGATGCAAGAGAGTGGCAATTCCATTATTACGATTTGATTTGGGGTTTTTTATGTAAAAAAACAGATTTAAATAGAGTTGTTGTATTGGTATGGCTTTACAAAAAAACTAATTTTATTTTTTATTATTATTTTTTTTTTCTAGAAAAAAAAAAGAGAGAAAAAAAACAACCTAATTTTATAATATACCAAGCACTGCATGTAACTGATATTTACATTTTATATAGCGTCCCAACTTCTTTTTTTATATCTCCAATGTTTTTTTTGTTTTTTTTTCTGTTGCTGTCATTTGGTGAAAAACTATTCTAATATAGACTGGCTGAAATGATTACATCATGAGCTCCTTCTGTGTAATCTACTTTTCATAAACAAGGTGGCTTGGGAAATCAGTCTCTAAGGTTGGCAGAATGTTCTCTAACTCTCATTATGCCATGATTTGTGCTGAATATGTTCAGAAATATTCAATTGTCATTTTCAGCTACTTTCACAGCACCCAATACTGTATGTGTGCACTTGCCATGTGTATGCAGCACACTTGCTATCATTGATTACAAAATGTATCATGGTGTTTTCAAAATGAGAAGAATGATTACCCTGACGATGGAGTCTCGGTTGATGATTGAGGCTGTAGCAGTCTGTCAGTAGGTGTCTCTTTGGTTCACTTGCTCAAAAGAATAAATATTGGCTCTTTGTGGACCAGGGAATTAAGTGTGAAGTATGAGCGGGTGGCCGATAATCTTTTGAAGGTAGAGCCAGAGTCATCATTTGCAAGGTTCATGTAGCATTCTAAGACTGAGGAATAAAATTGTCATTCTTATCCCATCTTCAAGCCATCTGCTAAGTTAAACAAAGTGATAGAAAGGCCAGTGCCCTGCCTGCCTCTTTTTATTATGGCAATAGACTTGGTTCCCTATTACACGTATGTACCTGTCACCCTTTCTTTGCCTAACCCCTTTCCTCAGTAACACATTTGTTTTATCTCTCTAACTGTGTCTCTCCCTCTATTTCTCTGTTACAGCCAAACTTAGGGAATCCTGTTTCGACCCAGGAGTTGTTTTGAATGGGACCAGATTGGGATCCGATTACAAACTGGGCTCTACAGTCACCTTTTACTGTGAAGCAGGATATGTTCTGCAGGTACAAACAGCTTTAAAATATTATTTTTTTTCTCATTTTCTAAAATGAAGCATAGCTTTTACTAAAACACATATCAAAAGGCATTTGTGCCAATGAATATCGATAACCAGATTAGGATACTTCTCCCACCTTTTGTCAAGTAGAACTTGCATTTAAAAAAATGTGTCATACCAGAGACCTTGAGTTACACTTAAGACACAACAAATATTTTGTATTTCAAAAGGACAAAGACATTAAAAAAAACACCGTAAGATGCACCAATAATCCACTTACAGTGGATTATTGGTGCATCTTAGAAATTATCCAAATTTTATATCACATTTCTCTGATAAACATCTGTTTCTTTTGTCAATATTGTTTGTCATTTAAACCTTTTTTCTACTTTTTATACTAACAGCAATAATGCTTTTGGTGTTTTATTATACATATTCACTTTCTCACCAGACACTAAAGACCTAGAATATTTTAAAGGTTTTAAATGTGCACAGTATTGGGCACTGTGTGGAAAGGAAAAGAAATTCACATGCAATTAGTGGGCATGCTGTCATGCAGTTAAGCTGGTTAGTGTATTGGCTTTGCCTGTGCTATCACTTTTGCATGTATACTGTAGATTAGGACCTAAAGGTTGAATTTTCATGGTATTGAATCTGTTATGTCATAAGAAAAAGCAAAATATTCATTAACAAAAATGCTTTATCTGGATCTTTATTCAAAAACAAAATTTCAGACTCAAGCTTATGTTTAGATCAAATAATAGATAACACAGACTTAGAACTTTGCCTTTTTAGCCCACCATCAATATATTTCTTATATGAACCCCCTAGATAACTCTCTACTCTAACCTCATTTCAGTGCTGGATCATCATGATAGCAGAAGCAATATTTGAAAAGTTTATTTGTTGTTGTTTTCCTTCTCAAAAATACTTCTACTACTAAACTAATGTGATAATAAAGTAATTTTAGACAAAAACAATAGGTCAGTAATGTGTCCTTGCTTTTAAAAATACTCTGATAAAAGTTGAAGTATCAACTTGACCTCTTTATTCAAGTAAAAGTGAAAAAGTATGTGCTCCAAAAACTACTTAAAGTATGAAGTAAACTTGAAAAAATTAAACTGCCAGATGCCACTATATGAATTGAAGCTCAATTTTACGATGGAAGGATGAGGGAGGTCTTGTTGGTATTGGTGTCCGACCTTTTAGACATTTTGACATCTATTTCTGAATCCAACATTGTAGCATGGCACAGAAAATTCGTGTTTGCAGTTTGAAGACCTCCTGCTTGCTTCTGATGATTTCCTTTGGCGTCAGCATAAATTCGATGAATAGCTAGCCAATGAGTGTTTGTATTATATGACTCATCCAATTACACTAGTTTTCACTTAGATGTTGATGACGCTAATGATTAGCATTGGATGGCGCACATGACGTGAAATAAATATTTATAAACATTAAACCGAAGCCAAGAGTTTTTAAAATGTAAGGAATAGAAAGTACAGATACTTGTGTAAAAATGTAATGAGCAGAAGTTAGAAGTATGAAGAAAAATAAGTAATGGAGTAAAGTATAGATACCTAAAATATCTATCTAAAAAAGTATTTGTACTTTGTTACTTGACAACTCTGATATTTTGAGCACCTTGTGTTTTGCTTAACTGATTTATGCTGTTGGCTGTATTTTGTTGAGTTTGATTGGATGGATTGGTAGTTTAAGGGACCACCTAATGTGGCTGATTAAAATCTTTATTTTTATGTCTGTGTTTTTGTTTTAGGGCTATTCAACCCTAACCTGCAGCATGGGAGATGATGGCAGACCTGGATGGAACCGAGCTCTGCCTAGTTGTCAAGGTGAAAAATCTTTGGAAGTCCTTTAAATATAAAGTAATTCTTTGCCGGTATTAGTAATCAATGCTGCATTTTGTTGTGTAACTTGATCAATGCCCACCTCAGCTCCCTGTGGAAGTCGCTCTACAGGGTCAGAAGGGACCGTCTTATCTCCAAACTTCCCGAGAAACTACACTTCTGGACAGACCTGCGTGTATTCCATATCTGTGCCAAGAGAGTTTGGTAGGTTTATCCATTTCTACAGAACGATAGAGTTCAAATAAGGAATTTGCATCAAGTAGTTTAATCTCAAAATGATATCCCCTACTACTCTAAATATTCCCATGCCTGTATGCCTAACCTGAAAGTTTATATACAGTTCACAATGCTGAAACAGTAAGCATGAAATCTGCTTGACAAGAATTCTTTTATTGAACTACACTCAGTGAAACAAACTGACATTAAAACATGTCTGATTTTTAATGGGGATGCTGAAGGAACCCCTGAAGGATGCCTGTTGGGGATTTTCAAGCGTGCAGAGAATCCTGCAGTGATTTTTCTGCACTCTGAAAGGACACTTGGTGGCTGTTAATTTGGTTCCAGGTCAGGGTTTCATAATTGAAATGACATTTAAGGATGATACTGTTTTTATCTTGTCATGTGTGATTGGTGGTGCTTAAGTCAGACTTCAACGACACGTTACGAAAGAGATGAATATTGCAGGGGGTTCTTCACATTAAATGAGCTTGTGCTCCTAAGTGTGGTCATTAGAGGAAAGGATCCAAGGCAAATCCAAGAGCAGGGCTTAATAACCACCCATATAGTATACATTGTACATATACATTGGTTTGCCACACAAAAAGTTTGATAAAATATTTTTTTATCTACTGTATAGGAAGCAGTGAAAGAGCGTGAAAAGCTTCACTAAGTTGTTGTTCTCACCCAGCAGAACTACTGTAAAGAGGGTTATTTTTGGAATGAGCGAGCAACATATACAATAGGAAGATGTTGTTATACACTGCAGAAAAGTCCTATAACCTGTTCTCCTCACTGTTTGGCAGTGAAACTTAACATTAGTTTAGGTCTTTTTGGATTATAAAGAGTGTACAAAGAGAATTCCAAAAAATTTGTACTTTCTTGAAAATCTGAAATTTTCTTAAGGTGTCATTATAGGATTGCCTGCAGACTATAACATATACATATGTATATGCTTTAACAAGCTGTTCACAAAATTGTGCTCAAATGTATGTTTTATTGTTGTTATGCTGCTAATGTTTGTAGGCTTCCTTATTTACATACAGTTTAACCTTTTTTTTCAGGTCTTTTTGGAAGGCCAAGCTTTAACTTCAATGATAATCTCTTAGAATACTTGTTAAGTATATAGAGATACAGTGATATAATTTCTTCTTGATGACATCTTGTTAGGTTTAAACACCAAACACCTTATTCAGCAACCTGCACAAAGAATGACACAGAGAATTTAGTATATTTTACTTGCAAGGAGAGGGGATCAGAAACTGCATTCAGTTACAACTTCAAACCCACTCTGAAGCAGTATCTGCTCTCCAAGCCCTTTATTGAAGAAACGCCCTGATTACAATGTGGTTTCAACCGCTAAAGGGGGAGGGAACAGAACCCAGTTGAAACCAGAATTTTCGTACAACATCATACATCAGAGGATAAGGAGAACCCCTCTCCTTATCTAGTTGCACAGTTCTCCATTCTCCTCCACACCCTTAACGACATCTGTTAACAGCAGTCGCAGTCAACATCCCTCCTGCACAGACTTAAAAAACATTAATGACACAGCAAACAAAACTAAATGTTTTAACACTCTTTGTAATATGAGTAAGATAGAGATAACAAAATGTGTAAGTATAATATGATTAAAGTAATATGATTAAAGTAGAATAACTTATGTTCAATTAATTAACCCAACATTTCCCTCCTGTTTATTCACTTTAAGCTATTTATTTTTATCATTCAATAGTTACTTCTTTTCAGATTTTCAACTAAGAAATCATTCTTTTTTCTTTTTTTAGCTGTAAAGGGTACACTCAGAGGTACTTTAAACTGGTGGGTTATTGTCGTTGGGATTAGGATAAAAGTCAGGAAAGTGTAAAGAGAATTCATCCTCTTCGCTGTCTTCATCATCCGATAGGTGTTCCTCAGTGGACATAAGGGCATACATTTCTGTTTTAATGGGTTGTATTGCAGTGGTAATTAGTCTATTTAGCAGCAATCTAATACATGGAATACAACAACATCCACATAAGGTCAGGATGGCGGCAAATATAGCTACAGACATCAAAATAGAAAGTACCAGTTGTTTGTATTTACCAAAAATGTCTCCAGATCCATCCCACATTTTTGTGTCAACTCCAGAATGGTCTTTCATTTTGCTGTTAAGAGAGCGAAGGCCTTCAAGGGCCTTTGTGAGGCTGCCATCTGCAGCAGTGTTGTTGGGAATAAAGGTGCAACACTGATCTCCAAAAATAGAGCACACACCACCTTTTTCAGCTAACAACATGTCAACAGCAATACGGTTCTGGAAAGCCATCAGAGAGGTAGCTGACAATTGTTCATGGACGGCGGAGAAGCCTTGTTCTGTTTTATTTCCCAGCCTCTGGACGTTATAATGGATGTAGTTGATCCTGTCTACATTTTTATTTATAGTACACCACCAGCATAAGAAAGATTCAAATCCTGCAGAAACTTGATTCACTAGTTTATACTCATCTGGAACACCTCTGGGTACTCCAATACTGTCAATATAAGTAGGGTCATCTGGACTCCACGCATTTTCAGATGCCCTCCTTCTTCTAGTATGCCATGTGTGAGGTAAAATACTGTTTACAGTCGTTAACAATTCATCCATTGTGAGTGAAGTAATAGAAACAGGTAAAATCAAGGTGACTGCAGCACACAATTCAGTGGTGTTGCATGGAAGTCTGTCAAACAATCTGTCATCTCCACACCACCACCAGATGTCACTGCGGGATTGAGGTTTAAAAAAGGTGGATACCAGTAAAATGCTTGCACATTGTTTTTCATTTAGTGTACCCAATTTTGGGCCCACTCCGGTCCTGTTTACACAGGTGAAATTTGCCACAGCCACTTTCTTCAAAAAGATTGGTTTTTTCTTCTCATCTGTGGTCAGGGGATAGATCTTATCCCAATAGGTGCAATTATCAGTTGGAACTGTATAATTCATTATATTTAGAAGACATTGAGGAGTTATGGTGGCAGGAACCACACGTAACAGCGGTCTGGCTCCCATACACACAAGACAATCATTAGACACTGTTTTAGCTGCTTGTTCTGCCATTAAAAGCCAGTTGTTTGTTTGCCCAGAGATTCCAGTGGTGACTTGAAACAATTCATCTGTTTTAAGCGGGTCATTAATATTTTGAATTTTTATCTGTTCACCTTGGGCAGAAGTAAGAATCCCTTGTATCTCATCTCCTTCTTGTGTAACATTTGCAGAGCACAGATACAATGTCCAACATGGATCGGTTTCACTAGACCGTGCACATAGAAATGAGGAAGAACAGCCTTCCTTCTCAAGGGGTTCTGCTGTGGAGTTTATTGTCATAGTGAAAACTTTGGAGGCATGGTTAACAGTGAACCCTGATATTCTACTCATCCATTTCTTAGCTAAAGATGTCCATCCATATGATCCTTTTTTCCACTGTCCAGTGGTTCTGAAAACTCCCCAACTCTTTTGAGTTCTTTGAACTACACGGGGATATAGGTAGAAATCATAACCTCGCCAATCTCCCGGGTCAATTTTAAATCTTTGCTAGAATGTTTGAAAAGGAATAGTCACTACACTGATTACTCTAGTAGAGTTATAGCAGAGATAGACGTCCCTTTTACAAATAGCTGGCTCATGGGGGCAACAAGAATCCTTGCCCTGAGTGAGAGCTAAAAACAAAACTAATATGAAAAGTTGCAACATCATCTAGGTTCAAACTTCAAAAAGTTTCCTATGGGTAATCTTTTACACAGTGGTCTACTTCCTATGACCTCTCGGCAGAGTTGTGTACAATCATCACCAGTTTGAGACGGTTGTATACTAAAAATACAACCCCCTTTGTACGATGGACTTCCTCTGAAGGTCGGTGAAGGAGACCAAATGCGTATTCTATAACAGGTACCACAGTAGAATTACTAGAGTGCTAAGCAGTATGGTAAGGTTCCACAGAATAATTAAGAAAGTGATTTTACTTATTACTCATCTGATCTAACTATCACTTTCTTGCAATCCATTTAGAAAACAAATCTATTATAACCAAACAGAATTGAAAGGATAAATAGGTTTAGGGAAAGCACCTTTTTTAGGTCTTAAATTTCCTTGAAGATTATGTTTAGCACATATTAGACATGCTTTACAAAAGTTTTTTGCATAAAATATAAATCCATATGCTGTATAATGATGCTCAATGCTCAATCAATCCTACAATCCCCCCGTTTGAAACATGAGTGAAATCATGACTCAATATAGCAGCTCATTCAAAGAAATTTTTTTATTTGGAAGGATTGGTTTATGTTCTGGTCACATATAGGGGCCATCATGGATTTTATGATAGTTTGGCTGAATAACATGTTTGTTTCGTTGAATGTCATCCCCACTTCACATGTATTTAATAAGAAATGTTATGTTTAATGCAATGTTACGATGAAATTAGGACAGCAACTAACAATTATTTCGTAAATCGATCAGTCTATCGTTAATTCTTTCGATTAATTGGTTAGCCAAAAGTTCTGTAAAGAAGATTACTAATGACATTAAACCAGGTGAAACCAAAACATTTCCTCCTGAAGAGCTCCGGACGGAAGTTATTGACAGACAAAAACATTTTATATCGTATTTGCAAAATGTTTATAAATTTATTTTACAGTTTTGGTATGATTACTGATCCAAGTGGGTTACTCTGTCGGAGAAAGCCAGATTTTACATGTATATTATGTGTTAGAGTCTCTATACTCCATTTAATGATGAATCACTAAATTTGTTTACGAATATGTAAATAAACAATGAATATGATTCATGTTTTCAGCCACAGATAAAATACATGAGATGGGCAACACAGAGTAACTACAGCCCAGATGTTCAACTTTCATAGTGAAGTTATTATTTTTAATGAAGCATAGTAGGTAAAAATATAAGAGTGGGGTTTAACTCTGCACGATTCTATATATTCAGAAGAAAGTACTGTATTTACCGTCTGTCTCAGTTG